ATCCTTGGCCATTTCCATCCAAACTATTTTCAAATTATGTTTCTTATAGCCAACTTAGGTATCATTTTACATATTTCTTTCTTTCTACTACGATACTGCTCTAATGTTCTAATTTTGGCACTTTAAATCTGCGGCCTATAAAACTTTAAAACACAGCCTGGTAAAACTTGCTAAAAGTTATGGATTCTAGCTTTGGAGAGGCAGGTGAGATATATTCAATCCTTACCTATGCCCTTGACCAAATAAATCACCAGTGAGGCCACATAGTCCAGGGACAGTAGGCCCTAGGAACGCAGCCAAGTGCCAGAAGTGTGAGGTAGCCCTACCTAGTCATGTTTCTTGGGAGGTACCAGGACTTTGCAGAGATTTAAAGCTAATTCCACCCATTTGTCAGTGTGTTACAAGTCAATGTCCCTCAGCTAAGGGAAGGCAGTGGGCCAGGCAAACTGACCATCCTTAGCCTAGCTGAGGCCCAAGGGCATCAGGACAGGGAGAGAAATGACAAGGAGGACCCTGCAGCACCACACTTGTCATTGTCGGCTTCAAACCTGCAGAGTGCCATCCCGTGGCATCTCCTGGGTGTTGGTAGGACCCAAGTACTAAGGCTTTAGGGCCAGAAGGTTGAGGTTTCCTATCAGCCAGGAACCTCTGTCAGCTCCTTCTCATGTGCTCCCACCAACAGTGCACTGAGTTCTTTTTATGCTGCAGAGAAAACACTCAGCTTTTAATGGGTTATTGTGTTTGGTCTGCCCAGGTAACTTCCCTTTGCCATATGCATAGAGGAGGTTTTACAAGGGCGAGGGTCACCTGGGGTCTCTTAGGATTCTGCCCATCATAGCCATCATCTTGGTTTTCTGCCCCTTCAGAACCCTAACTGGTATTTGCCTTAGAGGTGGAAATTTCTGTCCTAACCCTAAATTGGAACTAAAAGCAGACAAGAAAGGGAGATGCAGGGGCTCCATGGGACAGGTCTACCCCGGTTTGGGATGTAGCTAACAGGCATAACAAGCACCAAGCTCAGGACTGAGTGTTAAATTTGCAGGGCTTTCCTGGAAATCTGTCTTTTTCAAAAAAAGATCCAAGGAAGTCTAAATTGAGCGGAATGTCTGGAAGGGTCTCCTCTTCGATGAGCACCATTTCATCTCAGTGCAGCCTCACTCCACAGTGAGTGTACGCTCATGTTCTTTCACTCGGCCTCAATCCTGGAGCTACCACAAGACACCAGAAAGCCGAACCCGGGCTCAGTATGTGGGTCTGGCTGGCTATTCTACCTGAGTGCTGCTAAACTGGAGTGGCCACCTTGAGTTACTTAAATTCCAACTGACATAGTTGCTAAAGTGATGACCTCCTCATTCTGACCTTCCAAGCCTAATGCTTGGTGTGAGATAAACCTTGATGAAAACACAAATGTCCTCACCTCCTTCAGGCGAGGTGAACCATTCATTGCTCAAATGTCACCTCCTCAACCTTTGTATTAAAATTGTATCTCTACCCAACATACCCAATCCTCCTTCTCTGCTTTATTTTTCTCTACTGTGTATACCACCTTCTAATATTGTACAATATTTTACTTTTTTATTTTAATTGACACTCCCCATGAGAATGTAAATTCCATGAGAGCAGAGATTTTGCCCATTTCATTTACTGCTAATTTCCTAGCACCTGAAATATTATCTGGCACTGAATAGGCTCCTCAATAAAAATTCATTAAATTAATATGTGGAGTTTTAACATAATCTATCACGCTTTATATTGGTAGAGTAAAAACAAAGTTATTTTAAGTAGAACTACATGTGGCTACTGGTTTTCAAAAAGACTGTGAACCATCTGAACTTTCTACAATTTTCTTTTTGGCTTCTTAAGTCTGAGAGAACAAGACTTATGGGGCATCTTAGACAAAAAGGTCTAGACAGAGAATATTTTATGAAGAGTACATAAATTACATACATACGATTTATATTTCTCTCTAAATTTACAGAGATTTAACAATGAATGAAAAGTATTCTTCAGGCAAAATGAGTTTTGGGTTTCAACAAATGTAAAACACTTTGAGAACTAGTTTAAGATGTTCAAAAACCAAAAAAATATCACTGGAAATATTCTCGCTGTTAGACTAGAAATATCTTATTGTATAATTCCTCCTTGTAATATAATTATAACAACATTATATGTTAAAGGGTTAATTTCTTTTGGAAATTTTAAATGCCTTTTCATATCCATTCTAGCACTTCTCTCAATCCATTTCTGTAAGGTGGGGTAATGACAGTGCAGTCACCATCAGTGGTCACTTCATTCCTAGAGGACTGCTCCTTTTCATCTTCAATTCTGCTACCATTCCTACTTCCCTTACACTAAGACCTCCTGTACTCAGCTTCTTCTCCCTAACTTCTTATTCTTTCCATTTCCACAACAGCATGGGGGGCATGCTGAGGGATGTTGCTACTGAGATGGCCTTCCTTTATGGGATGGTTTCAAGCCTTAGAATGGGACTGAAGCACAGAGTGGATGGAATAGCTAAAAGAAACAGCAATGAGTGAGAAGCAAGTTTGTAGGTTGGGAGCCTCTATTATTGGTCATTAATGACTCATTTTCTTTCTTTCCTTTTTTTAACAGAAAATGAAAAGAAGGTAATATCAAAGATACAAGACATGTTTCTTCTTGAGTAGAGAGAGTATGATTTTGCTGCTGCTACAAAGAGAATCCCAGCTCTGCAGCTTTTTGACCCTCCGGGCTGGATCTTGGCTGAGGCCTGTGTCATCTTTCTTTCTTTTCTTTTTTTTCCTCTCCTCTCCTTCCCTCCCTCCCCCTCTACCTCTCTCCCTTTCTTTTCTTCTCTTTCTCCTTCCATTCCTCCTCCTCTCCCTCTCTCTCTCTCTCTGTCTCCCTAAAAGCTTGAGGTTGGAAAAAAAGTGCTGTGGTGCCAGCATCATCAGAATTTTTAGCAAAATGGGGTAAAGGGATGGGAAAGCTGAGCCTGAATGAGAAGAGTGGAGTAGCAGTTGGCAATTTTAAAGAAGGTGTCTACTTAATGGGAAAGGTAAAAGAATCCAACTTCTAGAAGAAAACATAGAAAAATATTTTCATGACCTTAGAGAATAGAAAAACTTTCTTAAACGTGATACAAAAATCACTAACCATTAGAGAAAAGATCGAAAAATTAGACTTAATTAAGAATTTTGTTCAACAAAAAAGCAGAAATTTAAGCTACCCTAGGGGATGATATTTGTAATAATACATCTATTTGACAAAGGACTTGCATCCAGAATATATAACAAACTCCTGAAAGCAGTAAGGAAAAGAAAGGCAATTTGATTTTTAAAATGGACAAAAGACCTGAGCAGGCACATCTCCAAAGGGAATACCCAAGCTCAAGCTCATTAGCCAACAGAGAGATGCAAATCATAATCACAATGAGAGACCACTATACGCTCATCCAAGGACCAGGAGTAAAAAACTGACAACACTACATATTTGTGAGAATGCAGAACAACAAATTTCCCATACAGTGCTATTGGGAGGTAAACTGTACAACTGCTTCAGAAATCTGTTTGGCACTATCTACTTGAATATATGCATACCCTACAGCTCAGTAATTCCATCAGTTATAGATCCAGAAGGAATGGGCACATTTATGTTCTAAAAGACATATATAAGAACATACAAACACTATTTATAATAGCCCTAGCATGGAAATAACCCACTTGTCCATCAACGGTAAAATGGATAAATAAATAATAGTATGATCATATAATAGGTTATTAAATGGTGAAGAAAATGAACTATAGCTATGTGCAACATGGACATGGATAAAACTAAAGCTATATGCAAAAGCTATCTGGCTATGCAACAAGCTATACGGATAAATCTTAGCATTGTGTGAAAAAAGCCAGATACGAATATTAGTTTTTCACTGCATTTTATAAAGTTCGAAGGCAGGCAAAACTAACAGCATATTTGTAGAAAACTATACAATTACTACTACTATACTACTTTTGTAGAAAACTATGAGGAAAATTGAGAATAACAGCTATTGTTGGGAGTAGTGAGGGGTTAAGATTAAAAAGTCACAGCAACAAACGGATAAGACAAACAAACGAAAACCCACAGGGGAAACAGTTTAGTGGTCACCGGAAGGAAAGGGGGGAGGGGTCAAACATACGTTGACAGAAGGAGATTTGACTTTGAGTGATGCACACACAAGTAATATACAGATGATGTATTATTAAATTGTACACTTGAAAGCTATATCACTTTATTAACTAATGTCACTCCGATAAATTTAATTAAAAATAAATAGCGATTTAAAAAGAAAAAAGGGTTTGGGGGAACTGGCAGTGCTCTATTTCTGGACATGAGTAGTGATTGCATGGATTTTCACTTCATAATTCATGAAACTAGTAGATGTACTTCTATCTTTATATATGATATTTGATAATGAAAAAGCTTAAACTTATATCGGGTATTACTTTTCTTGTCTAATTTTCACAAAAAATAAACACTGTTCTGGTAAACTTAGACTCCTAAACTAAATGCCAACAACTCTAAAAGTAATACAGAAACTCTGAAGGCTCAGTTACGCGGGACCTTTATGTGAATTTTAAAAAGGCACCTTCTTTGGGAAGATGATTCAGTAAAAGCTGTCTCTCTAGGCTGAAGCAGACTGTTAGCACTGCTTAGGGAACTTTTATCTTCTCTGAGCAAAAAAACCAAAAAACCAAAAAAAAGTATCCCTTCTCAGAGGAGATGTAGGTCCACATTTATGTATAATGTTTGTTGGATAGACTGCAGACTGACTTTTGGTCCCACTTGCCTTTTTGTCTGGGTACCTACGTGCAGCGCACAAATAGCAAACTCTGCCTGGCAGCCCTGCCCAGGAAAAAAAGAAAGATGACAATTACATGCACACCTGCCCATCTGAGCACATGCACACACACAACTCGTACTGGCACTGGATGCCTACTGCCCAGACCTGGCTAGACATGGCTGACACTGCCCCTTACCGCATAACCTTCTGTCTTCTTCTGGCACCATTTCAGTAGAGCATTGCGCTTGGAGCCGCCATATTCCCGGGCCAAGGCGGCCAGAGGATCTCTTCTTTCCACACTGGTTAGAAAGAAGAGCACATAGTAAAGAGAAGGCGCTCATTTTTAGAACCCTCAAATATATGAGAAATAATTAACTAGATTAGAAAAGCAAAAGTCTAGGTTATTCTAAGTGAAACTAAAGAAAAACAACTAACTCAGTCACATTAACAAAATATTTTTTATTATGTCTCGTGGTATAAAAGAAAAATTAAATTGTGTTTCTTGGATGTCAGAGGTCTGAGGAAGAGGTTTTTTTTTTTTTTTTAAAAATCCACATTCTGCTCTATCCCTCTAGCCTTTTATTTATTTAAGTACAGTATCATTTTAATTAAAGACACCAATAAAAAATACTCTGCATGTTTTAAAGGCTACACCCATATCCATATATCATATGAAAGGTAGATTCGAAGGGCATTTTTAAAACATCAGATTGGCTGCTTTAAAGGAGGTGACGGGAATGGAGATGAAAGGTGAAAATTACTCAAAAGAGGGGCTTTGCACATTCCAAAGGTGATACTCATACTCCTTAGTTTGTGGTACATTAACTCAATTCTGAGCTCCCATTTAGCCAAAGAAAGTGATTTTACTTAATACCATGGCATTCCAAGAGCAAGAGTTTAAGTGCCCCATCCTCAATTTTCTGTAAACATCTATGTTAATTTTTATGCTACCTAAAATTATCCAAATACTAAAAAGGATTTAAGATCATACAGTTTATTCTGTGATGAATGTCATGAAATAAGAATTATACTCCTATTGCATTTCGAACAGCACTCTATTTCCCTGTACCTTGTGCAGGAGTGCAGGCATAGAGCAAGGAGAACAGAGGGCGGTGCGTCTCTGGAGTATCAACTGTAGCAGGCAACAACTGAAGAGTAACAGGATTTACTCTGAGACGTATACATCATCAGGGCACACATACAAGAACGTTCACAGCAGTAATGTAGGGAAGAGGCAAGAGAACTAAAATGTTAAATCAGGCTAAATTCAGAGACTGCAATATGCTGGTCAGCTCTATGCCAGACCACAAGGAAACCTGAAGAACAAAGGAAGATTTCTGCTGGGATTACTAACAAACCATTTACCAGTACTGTGAAAGAAAAACAGTCTTTAAGTCATGCCCGACACAAAATAAAATCACTCATTCCCTACAGCTGAAACCATGGAGAACCTAGGGATCAAAGGCTGAGAATTGCCAGCAGGCCTTTTGCACTACATATTCTTACCTTTACTCCTACATACTCTCATCCTTCCACACTGTATGTCCATACCATCAATGGAAAATGGGTGAACAAAGTCTTTAAACTGTAATTCACAGAAACTAGCAATGGTATATAAACTGAATTTCCTGAACACTCAGGGTCCCTCTCAGTGTCTTTTTCTGTCTCCTTCATTATCTTTTACTCTGTCCCTCTACTGTCTCCATCCCTCTGAGTCTCTCTCAGGCTCTCTCACGCTCTACCTCTAAGAGGAGACCACACTCTGTCTATGGAGTATCACCCCTTCTCTACAAACTTTCTTTTTGACTCTATCTCTGGCATGCATTTGCATTCTTTCTTGCGCTCAGCCAAGAACCTTCTCTCTGGGTGCAGGGCTTGAGCTCCCCGCTGCCCCCGCTTCCACTTGGGGGACTCTGCCCCGTCTTGCATGAGCAGCACTTTTTATAATAGCAAAAATTGGAAAAAAACAAAGGTACATCAGGAAAATAGATAAACTATGATATGTTCACACAATGGAATACTGTATAATAATAAAAACTAATGAATTACAGATGCATGCAATAACTTGAATAGCAGGAAACATTTTTAATTAAAAAACCCACAATGTTTCCATGTATACAAAATTTTAAATATGCTAAATAACATATTGTTCGAGGAAATAAAATATATGGTGAAACTGTAAAGAAATACAAAGAAAGACATATATAAAATTCAGAATGGCAGTGACCATAGAGGCGGGCAATGGAGGGGCAGAGAGGTGATGTAAATAGAAGAGGCTGATACGAAATTTCAAAGGTAATAATTTCAAAGGTACTAATAATTTTCTTCTTAAACTGGAAGATGGGGTATCCAGGTGGATCTCCATTGTGTTGATATTCTTTACATCTTACAAACATTTTATTATTATTTTGTATGCATCCAATACTAAATAAAAATATTTTAAATGACTTAAAAAGGGGTAATGGAAAGATTCCAGACCTTGGCTATCTGAATCAAGGTTGAGAGATTTTAAGAAAAACTTTATACTTAAAACTTTTCTTGTATAATCTGATGACTGCTTTTCCTTGTATTTGGCATATTTGTAAACTCAAGTTCATGAGTTTCTGTGGTCAGAGTCACTGTTCACTTTGCCAGGGTTTACTGTGCCTGGTCTCATTTCATGTCATAGAGCAAAATATCTAGGCTCAACAAAAATAGAATACTGAAATGAAGGTTTAAAAAAGTTTCTGCATAAATCTATGACTAAAACATCTACCAGACAGCTTTCTTTAAAAAACAGAGCTAACTAGATAGAATCGCAAAAAAAAAAGAGAACTTCTAAAGTGAGTAATTTCTATTCAGTCATTGGTTTGACTCAATGACATGAATGTAAACACAAATAAATTAATTTCACTAATTTAAGCTTTCATGATTAAGGGTACAATATAAATAGCATATTAATATACACACAGTCTTTTGTATGCATTTCTGGCATAAAGAAAAGAACGATTATGGAATAGCACAAATTCTGGTCCTTAACACCTGTTTTGATTATTTAAATCTTTTGCACATAAACAAGACGGATATGTAATATCTGAGGCTTTAAATTAAACCTCTGAATGATATGACTTCATCTATTTGGTTTCAAATACAGTCTATATGCAAAGGTATGACAAGAACTGGACTTATTCAGACTTTTACAAAATCCTCTTCTAATACTCATAATGGTAGTTATAATGTCTGTTAAAAAGCCATTATTCCTAGAGTAGCCAAATCCTTATTCATAAGTATTTACTAAGTGAAATGCTATGTGTGTAGCACAACGCAAGGGGTTGAGAATGCCACCAAAATGTAAGATGAAGTATTTATTATCCACTAAATTACAGCCTAAATGGGGGCAAAGGCATGCATGCTATGCAACAGTGAATTAAATACCCAAATGAGTATAAAAACACCAAAGGCAAAGAAAAGGGGTGTTGATGCTAGCAGGGTAGTTAGCAAAAATCTCACAGAAGGTTTGACCTTGAAGAAGTGGTATTTAAGAGTGTGAAAGGATGAAAGAAAGACAGTTCAGGTCAAAACCTTGTAAGCGATCAGAAATGCTTGCAATATGTTGCAAAGGCAGAGAATAAAACAGGCTTTGATGGAGTGAAGGGCTGAGACATTCTGACAGGGGAGCTGAGATGGGGCTAAGTTGTGGAAAATCTAGAAGATTTGGCTAAAAAGTATGGACCAAAGTGCAGATAACAGAATCATGGGAGGTTTCTGACAGGGTCTGCACAAGATTCACTCAGTGTGACTCAATATGAAGAAGCAGGAAAGCGAGCAAGGGTGGGGAAGTAGTTGAAAGAGGTTTGCTATGGCCTGGGTGACCACAGCACTGAGAAGGGAGGAGGTGGGAGAGGTGTGAGAGCAAAGACAGGCCCTTAGAGACTACTCCTGGCAGTCTCTGTCCTCTCCATCGCCCACTCCAACCATCACATCACTGTTGAAGTACTCTCTAAACACTAATTTTGAAATGCCCCTCCAATCCTCCTTATACGCCACTCTTTATACTGTACCACTATCGCTATTCAAAATCAAAAGCAAAATTCCACAAACTTAATGGTTCCCCACTGCTTTACCAAAATGAGTACAGACCTCTTACCTTGGCAATGAAGACCATTTGCAATATGGCTCTAACTTGCCTTCCCAACTGTGATATCGTAACCATCTATCCACTTCCCAGCCAATAGTGATTGGACAGCCTACTGTATATATGCCAGGGTTCCTGCCCCATGAAGCCTACAGTCTCATTCAATCAAATGAAACCACCTCTAGTTTCCTGATCATTGTGCCAGAGCTCCTTGTGATGATACTATCTGGGCCACTGGCAGAAATGCTGCTTCGTCTATCCAGACTCCTTGATCCAAACAACAACCACCCAAGTACTCTGCTTATACTTCTTTTTTCTACACCCCTTTATTTCACTTTGCACAGTACTACTGTCCAGTGCCCTCCTCTCTTGCTGAAGGCAGCTACTGTGTCTTAATCATTTTTATTCAGGAAATATTTGTAGAAGTAAACTGACAGTATGGGACAAAAAAAAAAACCAGAAGAAAAAATACAAGGTTATTGGCTCAGTGATTTTCTGATTTCTCACTGTTTAAAAATTGATACCTGAGTTTGCTTTGTGGTTTCAGGCCCCCAGTGGAAGCGCTCAGCAGTCTAGTGTTCCCGAAGCCAAGCGAAGGGGGTCTGCTCAGTGACTCAAGCGAGGGACTCTTACGGAGATAAGGGTCTGGTTTCAGGTCCTCAGCCCTTCCTTTTAGAAGATCTGTGTGAACAATAACATAATCATCTATTCCTGAAGAAGAGAAATTTGACTGGTCATCACACTGTTTTCTCAAACACAATTCTCATTTTATTCTCTTGTACAAATAGATAATATAGATATATAGATGTAGTTTCTGGATTAAGTAATAAAAATGCAAATAGAGACATGGTATTTTCTAGAAAGGCTTCTCCAGGCAGGACTGATTATATAATTCAAAGAGACTAAAGCCAAATAAGTCCCTTGTTCAAAAACTGTTATAAATTTCAAGACTGCATCAGCAGAGCACTGAGCTTAGGCCTTTCTCAAGGGTCTTGTGCAACTATACAGGTCGCGCAACCACAGAGCCAGCGCTGCCCTCAAGTCAAGTCCTGTTTTAATCAACATGCCTCTGAGAGAGAAGGCTGGCAGAAAGATGCCTAATGCAATTACCAGGTCACAGATGGCAGCAGATGAAAAGCTGGGAACCAAAAATGATAACTATTTTACAAGAGAAAAAACCATTCTAATCACAGGGACTGGTTTGCTAAAAGTAAGTAAAAATAATTCTTTTAAGGCTCCTCTTTGCTATCATATTAGCCTGAGTTAAAACAGGTAATGAAACAGGCCAAATCCTCCAAATATTTCTTAACAGACCTCGAAAGTATAGAATAGGAGAAAATTTCTAGATTGTCTAGTTTGTATTTACAGAGGAAACGGGACTTGCTCAGTGCTGCTCAATAGGCCAGTACCAGGTCTGGCCCATGGTCACCTCCCAGGATACCATAAATAGTGATGGAAAAAACAAGACTTGTACAGCTAATGGCCACCAATTATGGGTAGTAAAATTGGGAGTGATGCTAATTAGCTCGGAAG